CTATGAAAGGCAGCAATGGGTGAACGCAGTGTTCACCTCTAGCAGACCCCTTCCGTTAATGGCAGCATGCATGAGCAAAGATGACGATCTGGCCAGCTGTTTATAAGACACAGGCTGCGTCCAGGAAAAAGTCAATTTTTTTAACAGAGGTGAGTGTGATTGGCCCAGTTGATGAGGAAAGAAGCTCTTAATTAGTTCTGGATTTCTTTTCCAGATATGCATATGGTCTGCTTCTCCTACAGAGCACTCAGATCCTCCCAGGGAAGTGGTTTCTGCTCTCACTTGGGCCAGCACTGGACGTGGGCAAGGTGCTGCCAGAGCGAATGCTCCTCTTGGCAGTGCCTGATTTGTGCCACAAGCCCACTCAGCAGGACCACAACTGCTGCCCTTCACTCATTACCTGCTCTTGTCCTGGCAGCTCCTTCAGAACATAGTGCTCTTTGGGAAACTAACACAGTTTTAAAAAACTGAAGCAGATTCTGTTCAGAAATCAGATGGTAAAATGTTAGAAGAAAAGGGATTCTAAAAAAATTTAAAATTAAAGACAGAAAATAATTAAGCAGCTTCATGCAAACCTTTATAACCTCAATCTTTGCATTTTCTCCGTCCTTGAGAACAATCACTTCTGTGCTGCCAAAAGAAATGAGATGTGATTTCTTCTAAGTCATTACTGTGATCTCCATCCAAGAACAGCAAAGGCAGTAATTAGTACTCCACATCAAACTGCCCTCAAATTTGACAAAAACTGCATTTGTCCTTTGCAGAGCTGAAACAAAGCACTTCTAATCCTTAGAATTTTCCCATGAGTTGCTATCATTTGGCAGAAGTTTCTGGAGTTGTTGCTTCTTATAGACCTTTCTTGCTGTTAACATTGTTTTTCAAAGACAAAGAAAATAAAGTCTTTTTTTTAAAAATTAACAAGTTGTACCACATTACCTTTAGTGTGAAATCATCATTGGAAAGCATTAAAGATAAGGGGACAGGGAAAATATTATATGCTATAGGTGACAATATTTAAAATAAAAATTTTTTTAAGGCAAAGCACTGTGGGACTTGCTCTGTGCTATCTAATTCAGTAGCCACTGAACACATGGCTATTTTAATTTAAATTAACAGTAAATAAAAATTTAAAATGCAGTTCCTCAATTGCATTTGCTGTATTTCAAGAGCTCAGTAGCTACATGTGGCTTATAGACTACTGTTTTGGACAGCACAGAATAGTTTCACCAATGTGAAAAGTCCAATTATAAAAAAGCTGTGGGGTGGGGGTGGGATGAAGGGAGATGATATGACTTTGGGGGCTGGGCACACAGAGCAATATACAGATCTTGTAACATAGAAACCCACACCTGAAACCTAATTGTTCATACCGACCATTGTCACTCCAAGAAACTTAATTAAAAAAAAGAGAGAATTGAAAATGTCTCTCCCCCCAAAAAAAATTAAATGAGAAAACAAATAACAAAACAAAGCAAACAAAAGCTGTGGTACATTTATACCATAGAATACTATGCAGCTATAAAAAGAAGGATCTCTTGTCCTTTGAGACAACATGGAGGGACCAGGAGAGTACTATGCTGTGAAATAAACCAGTCAGAGAAAGGCAAGTATCACATGAGCTCACTTATATGTGGAATCTAATGAACAAAATAAAGTGACAAACAAAAAAGATCCAGAGACACTGAAGGATGCAACAGACTGAGGGATCTCAAAGGGAAGGGGCAGAAAGAGATTAACCAATGAACTTATATGCATATATGCCTAGCTCATGGGCAGAAAATAGTGTGGGAAAGGCCTGGGGAGGGGACGGGATTGTGAAGGAGGGGGTCAATGGGGGCATAAAAGGGGACATCTGTAATACTTTCAACAATAAAGATAATTTTTTTAAAAAGTGCTGGAATATACAGTTTTAATATACTCAAGAAATAAATCACATTTAAAACCAAGGTTTTTTTACTTTCTCTTATACCAAGATTTTTATGTGTATCTATCAATTTGATCTTGGATTTATTTGCAGATTTGAATAAATATAAAACATTTAGAGATATAACTTTGAGTTTCAAGGGCATCTTATGATAATTTTTTAATCTCCCTTGTGTTATACTAAAATAGATTCAAAGAAGGCACCAATTTAACCTTCTCAGACAGATGTCCAATCCCTAGGTTGTCAGATGAAAGGGATCCAACACTCCCCTTGACAGCTAATTTCAGCAATAATAATTCCTTTGAATTTCTTTTCAAATATATGTTTGATTGGAAAGTTTCTCAAGTCACTTGTCTAGATTTTTTTCATCCTGAAAGCTCATGATATTGACATTTTCCTCCTGAATATGCAGGTGTGTAGACATTTTGAATACGTGGAGGTAGTAACAGAAAGTTAAGTGAACTAAATTTCACTTACTTTTGGCAAATAAATTGATAGCAGAAGAGTCTTTTCCATCATTATTAAAAGCAGACATTTTCTTCAAGACATTTTCTTGCTGCCTAAGCAGTTTTAACTGCAAAAGCCATTGGCCACCATATGGATCCCTCTAGGAGGCGTCAACTAGAGTAAAGAGGGAAACCTCACCACATGGGGACGCCAGGGCATTATGGCAGATAAGGTAGAGTTGTTGGAGATTAATTCTAGAAAACCTCGGTGTATTCCACTTCTGAGGATCATGGATCATCCAACAGACAGCACTCACTGTGGGTAGCTGAAAACAACTGAGAAGGGATTTATAATGGAGTCACATATTGTAGCAGAATTCTTTGGCTATTAATGCCCAGCTTTCTCAGGCCTTGGTAAGAGGAGGTTGAGACTGTATTGGGAGGGAAGATTCTTCAATATTAACATTATTAATCTCAACTGAAACTTTGAGAAAGAGCTCTTAGACAGGAATGAGAGCTCTGACAAGTGCAGAAGAATATGTGATGAGGCAAATGCATCATCAAGTGTGAGAGAACTTTCTAAGGTCACTCCAAGTGGGAGCCTTGAACCCATGAACTAAGCTCACACATTAAGAATCATTCTTGCTTGTCCTGGCGTGGGTCAGCGGTTGAGCATCAGCCTAGGATCCAGGAGATCGAGGTTCGATTCCCAGTCAGGGCACATGCCCGGGTTTCAGGCTCCATCCCAGCAGGGGGCACACAGGAGGCAGCCGATCAATAACTCTCTCATCGTTGATGTTTCTCTCTCTCTCCCTCTCCCTTCCTCTCTCTAAAATCAATAAAGATATATTTTTAAAAAAAGAAAAAAAAAAGAATCATTCTCTCTTTCACCCCAAATGTCTCATCAACATGAGACAAATTTCATTCTTAAGATAATGTTTCTTCAGTATAGCATAGGAAGTATAGTCAATAATATTGTAATAACTGTATGACGCCAGGTGGGTACTGGAAATACTGAGGTGAACACTTTGTAAGGTATATGATTATCTAACCACTATGCTGTACGCCTGAAACTAATACAAAATAATATTGAATGTGAACTGTAACTGAAAAAATTTTTTAAAAAGATAATATTTTGTCATATCTCATTTTTTTGCTTAGGAATCACCCACTCACTAAAATCACATTCAGTTACCATTTAAAAAGAAAGCTATTAAGTATGTTTTGTAAAAGCAACAGCATATACTCTATAAATACACCTAGAAGTGGACCAATAATTGCTTTGAGTTTTAGAGGTTTTGTTATCCTCAGATAATACCTTGTCAAATAGCACTTGCTTGAACTGTTATGTTTTCATAAACATTTATGGGTTATTTAATATGTTGTCATCTAAAATAAATCATGTATTTATATCCTTGAAAAGAGTTACATAAAATGTTATGGTAGATCACAGGTCAATAAAATATGTGGCAAAATCTGACTTAACATGTGCTTGATTGAAAAACAGAGTTATCAATCTAAAGTCCAGGATTACTAGGTCCAATAAGAAGAAAACCTTAGTGAGAAATTCTTAGTATAACATTAATATTTCATCAATAATAATTTTCTAGAGTAAACCTGTAGATTTTAATCATTGTTCAGCATATATAGAGGTTAACCCAATTAACAGATATAAGCATTTAATAGTTTTCCTGATTGGATCGTGACCTTGAGGAAGGCACTAGATTTCCCTAGTTTTGAAAACTTGACTCCTAAAGTATAAGGATATCATAATAAAGAGATAAGCCTTTGGGGGGGTAAATGGTGTTCTAAGCAGAGTATCTTCAGCAGCATTTATTGAAATATTAGAAATCACTACCTTAAAACAGAGACCAGGAGTTGTGCAGAAGTTCAAGTCCATAGTAGCCTGTCTTGTTTCCTTTCCCCTAGGTATGTATCCATACCTAGAGCCGTCACTGCCCACCTTGAGGCCCTGCATGCATGGTTTTAGTCAAACAGGGTGTGGCACTTTAATGTTATTTTTGGAAAAATAGTTGATTTACATAGTAATTGTCATAGAATCTACATAAAATCTTACAAATTATCACCTCTTGAAAATGAAGAAACAAAACATAGTGCAATGGAAACATTTGTCAGAAGACTTGGCTTCTAATCCTGTTATGACGGTGGTATGACCACAGCAAGTTCTTTTACCTGAATGAGCCTCTGAAAACTGGCTGCCACTAAAATACCCGCCAGAGCCAGAAGCATCTGGAGATGATAAAGGTATCTGACATGGGCTCCCATAGGATGCAGAGGATTGTGATAAATGGATAGTGCCTCCCTTGTGTTGGGGACATTTGGCAACAGCTGATTAACTCCAGGTGGGGATGCGAGCCCTCTATTGCCATATCATTAGATTTTTCAAGAAAATACAGAAATTCAGATTTTTATGTGAAATATCCTGGTTTTTAAATGTTGACAACTAACTTAAGAGAGAGAGAGAGAGAGACCACTGTGAAGGCCAAACTAAACATATGTGATGGTGGGCTGGGGCCTATGGTTGCCGTTTTGTGCCCTCAGATTGGCAGCCCCCAGTCTCTCCCTGCTCAGTGGTTCTACTGGAAGAGAGAAGAGGCTCATCCTGGGGCCATAGAGCACTAACTCTGCGCAACTCTAGTTAATCTTCTTTTCGCTTGGATTCATTAGCACATGAATACAGTAAGGAATGAGAGCAACCACAGTCAGGGGGATGGATGCACTTTTACAGAAAGACAGCACGTAAAATAAATGCTCTGCGTGAGTGGGGATCTTGATGAAATGGTAGAGCTGTAGTGTGGTCAACGAGGCCACGACACAGAGCAGCCGGAAGCTCAGCTTATAGCCATTTTCCCCTCGGCAGCTCCTGAGGAACATCTCTGAGTTGATTGCAAAGCCCAAGCCAAAGAGGACCCCGAGGTTTCTCACGAGTCCAGCAAAAGGTGTAGTGTCAATGTGGATCCAGTCGGGGTTGGCACACCACTTCTTGGCGATGGGCACAGACCACAGCAGGTCAATGTCAAGCAGTCTGAGAAGCAGGTAAAAGCCAAGTGCAAACAGGAAGAGGAAGAGGTTGGTCTTCAGGTATGTGCTCAGGCTGGCCGTTTGGATGCCTGGAGTGTGTTCAAAGGCCTCTGCCACAAGCATACCTGGGGGTTAGAAAGAGACACTTAAGGCAACCATGTGCCCTTGAGCTCCCCAGGGAAAAATTCCTTCCTGCATTAAAGAATTTAGCTGCAGTTTTCAATGATAAAGGGCTTTAGGCACCTAGGTTCTATCCATTTTCCAAAGCCTTCCTTAAAGCAGTACCTAAACACACACACTTGCCCCACGGTCTTTTCACTACCCATAGTAGGACAGGGGCACCTTTCGGGGATCCATGGCACTGAGTGACAACCCACTTTATAGGCAGAGCACTGATCTAGGTGCTTGCAATTAATATTTCAATTGCCAAAGCCAATTAACTTTTGTCTTTGAAAAGCATGTGAGGCTAAAAGGTGGAAACTCAATCATGGTGAATGCCGCTTCAGGAACACAGAGCAGCTGCTAAATGAAGTTAGTAGTCATGTAATAATCACTTCAGATGTTTCAGAGAGAGAGTGGCATGGTATGCAGGTTGGAAGGCCATTATTAAGTCCCCCAAACCAAGACACAAGCGGGCTGTCTGAAGTGGTGGTCTGGGAGTTGAACTTAGCTCTGGTCACACTTCAGAGAAGCCCAGCTCACTAAGAGGTTAACGTTTACACCATTAAGTGAGACTGTGCCACTGTGTACAGAGAGGATTCGAGAGGCATGTTGAACCACGTAAGCTCCCAGGGTAGCATGACGCATCAGTGGCTTAACAGAATTTTCTAGAATGCGGAACTGATTAGAGGGAAGAATCTAAGAAAGTAAAACAAATGACACTAAAGCTCTCAAATGACACCAGCAAAGGTAAATGATCATATTTACCACCAATTACTCCGAGAATAACTTGATGAGGAAAATGTGTTGCTATGAATACTCTGGAGATGCAGACACTGATTTGAATCAACCAAAAAAGACTCCAAAGAAATGACCAGGTCAGTCTATGATGGAAGAATAGATACAAGTGTAAAAAACAAAGAAATCATATCGCTCAGAAAATTAGGGGCGGAGGTTGACACCAGATGACCTTTCTCAGAGGAATCGTCTGATATAACATCATGATTCTAGAGTCTGTTTTTTCAAAATGTTGTTTCCATGTGCTTCATAGGATTTGAAAACCTTTAACAGAGGTTTCTACATGTATCAATGCATTTTTAATGCTATTTGCTGAAATTTTAATAAGTACTATAAAAGGAAGCCAATTTGACATCCTAATAATTATTTTAATGGAGTAGGGGAATTCAAGTTTGGGGAATTACTAATATCAGAATGATGAAGAATGAATTATATATACTTTTACTCCCTGTCATATGTGCGCCCTTTTTACTCTCTCTCTCAATCTTTTTTTGCTTGAAGAAAACTCACTGGAGAGGCAGCTGCCACTCTGATAAAAAGCACATCAGCACTTATTAAAGGCACGTTTTCATTGGGATTAAGTTTAGACTCTCAATGGAGTCCTGATTCCTTGGTTTTCAAGATATAGAAAATAAGAAACAAGAAAACTGACTTATAGGTTATATACTTTGGATTAGAAACAACAAAGTAGGCCCTGGATGGGTAGCTCAGTTGGTTCGAGCTTTGTCCTGAAACGCCAAGGCTGCAAGTTCAATCCCCAGTCAGGGCACAGACAAGATTCAACCAATGATGCATAACTAGTGGAACAACAAATCGATGTTTCTCTCTCCCTCCCTCTCTTTCTCTCTAAAAATATCAATATATATAAATGTTAAAAAAGAAACAAGGTGTGAAAACTAGTAAAATTATTAAAATCCAAGCTATGCTCATTATTTTAATAAAACAGAATTAGCAATATTGAATTTTAAGAAGTACCGGGGTTCTCAATGGTTTTTCCTGATAATCAGACCAAACTTTGATTATTAAAAGACTAAAGAATGGAGAGACATGAGACTTCCAAAGAGGAAATAAGCAGGGGTTATCCATATGGGAGAAGAATAAACAAGGGTTTGGTAATATTAAGGTAAGAGGTAGGCACTAAATAAATTTGGGTGGATGAAGGAATGTTGCAGTTTATAAAAACTGAAAAAGGGTTATGGGAATTTTTTTAGAAGAAACAAATATTTTCCAAGTTTGGAAATTGGAGGAAGAAATAAACTATAAGAAGGTGAGCCTTATCTAGATTCCTACTTTGAAAAATAGTCTATGGATAGGAAATGTTAATTTCTTTAAATTAAACAACTTTCTACTGTTGTTGTTTTGGCCAATGAATACATTAAAGCATACAGGTTAAGCTCTTATTAAAATAAACTTTAAATATGTCCAAATTATTTCGGTCATTTCTTTCTTATATTATCCAATACTACTCTGAAAAGTATGGATCTTGGAAATTTTTTATTTTAAAAGAATTTGTATATAATAGCATATGTTTCACCTTTTTTAACCAATTAACAGACAAATTTTATCTCTGGTAGAATAATAATTTAAGATTAGAGTGGTGCTCAAAATGGTTTTAATGATAAATTATTTCCGGACAGAAGAGAAGGAAACAGCTTAATTGCTACAAAAATTTTGAGTAATCTAACATTAAGGTTCTAGGCCTTTTTAAACATTACAAATCTACTAACATGAAATCTATTAACATTCAAATTGAAGTTTGCCTCTAGAATGTTTTTACTTAGAAAAGTTGTAAAGTCTTCAAAGCTAGAATATGTTATCGATGTCAAAAAACATTGGCTCGTCAAAGAAAGAAGCATAATTATACTAAATTAACTGATGCATTCAAGGGGAATGATGATTCTCAAAGTTTCTAGCTAATCTTAAAGGAAGAGAATGCATATGCAAAATTATTTCCTTATATAATTTTAGATGACTTATTTATGCACTACCAAAGTGATTATTATATTACTGAAACCCAAAGGCACATTTAGCAAATCATTAATCAATTAAACATTTCCAACCCTATAGTGTAGCAATAGCTGTGAACTAATTAAGACATTATCTTAAGGCACAATATTAATTTTCTATTCATTTGCTATTTTGATTATGGTAGAATAGAATAAGCACATTTCAACAACTGAAAACATACTAAAATGAATTTTTAAGAAGACATTCTATATTCAAAACATTCTAGTGCTACAAAAACTGGAGAAAACTGACCTGTGCAGAGTGGTAGATGACTTATCCATCCGACTGACAGTGTGGCTCAGGGCAGCCGTTACCATGACATACCAGACACACGATGAGCCCATTGCGTGACCAGATGGACTTCCTGCAAAAGCAAAGTTGTCGATCCATTTGAAAGGTAGTTTACAGAGTATCAGTATCAGAAATGGGTGGTAGAATAGCATGTTAGCCATGAAAATTACAAATAACTCAGAAAAATAACCACAGGGCACAGACTATCTCTAATGTTTAGACATAGGTAGAAATAAAGAAAACTGAACCAAATTGAACCTCAAAACACTACTTGAAAATTTCCCCCCCAGATTTTTCAAGTTCGTCAAATTCCAGAAATTAATATGTTCAAGGCTAATTAAGAACTCCAAGTGTTGCACCAAAATCTGCCATATTCATTGTTCATATCTAATTGTTTTTAATTGATGATTAAAATTAAGTACTTGTGTTGGATCTTAAATCAGTTTATTTTCCTTGGGCTGAAAAGTCAAATATCTAAAGGGTATTATTGCTATGCCTGATTTACCAATTGACTGCTACACACTAGCAGCTCCCTCTATGCCTATCTTGTGGCCAGCAGCTCCGTGGAAGTCTTTGTTATGAAATGGAAGGGAAGCTGTGAAGGAGGCATCGATATTGGCAGAAGAAGCCTGAAGACAGTGTAGCCTTTCTACTCCTAGAATGTCTTTCCCATGAAGCTTGATATTTTTTTAAAAAAATAATTTACTTTGATTCTCTCCCTAAGTCTTTATCAAGTGGAGATTCATTCAGGTTAAACACCAGTCAATTTTTTAAAAAACAAAATAAAACAAACAAAAACCACACTAAATTAAACAAAGATTTATTTCTTGTAGATCTATTTCTAATGCAGGAATTTTCACAGACTTTATCTTCTTAGAGTTGTAAATCTCTAAGGAGTGAACATAGAATGTGATATATCTTTCTTTTTCTCCCCTCCAGGAAGTGTCCCATAAGATAGAATACATGCTGGGAAGTGCTGGGATAAAACAAAGTAGCATTTCAATTGTCTTAAAAGTTATCCATTCATCCGTCCATCCATCCATCCATCCATCCATCCATCCATCCATCCATCCATCCACCCATTCATCCACCCATCTAACCCACATTGGTTTCACAAAGATAAAATGCACACCATCCCCATCTTAATAGAACACAGTCTACTGAGGGAGCCAGATATATAAAGAATTAATTATAGTAATATAACAGAGCTTACACATTCACGATTTTCAGGGTTAGTTTCAATGGATGTCAAATATGAATTTTCTGTATGTGCCAAACTATGGTGAGGTATAATGTAACACAGTCTTATAAATTAAACCAACAACATGTAATTTCCTTGAGATATATATATTTATTTAAAAAAACTTTTTACAGTTTTAAACTCAACTTCCATGTAAAGATTCTACACTCATGCAGAGTCTTACTTATAATAAAAAAGGAAGTGGCCCAAGGAGTTTACTTACGTACTATAAATACAAAAGAAAAAAAAATTTTAGAGAAATCATTCTAAGATCAGAGATAGCTTTACTGGTAATAGTAACACTGGAAAGTCCTTACCTTAACTTGCCTATTCTTTCCTCATTCATGAGATTTTCAGAAGACCTATAATAACTTTGAAAGCTGCTCAGCAGTAGGTAAATCAACATTTCTAGAATTTTAACATAGTTCTTTGGCAATTTATTCTAGCTAACTTTTTTGTTTGTTTTAATGTTAAACCATTTCATTCTTCCAAAAAGTAAATGCCAACTATAAAATTACTTGAGGAGTGTTCTCCCAATTTACCCTTTTACAAATAATACAATGAAATTTGATTGCTTATAAAACTTTCCTTTCTCGTTAACAATTTTTATGCTTATGAACTTTTAGCACCCTCACTCATGACATTTTCTTTAATACCCTATATGATATCAAACACTTATTAGATGATAATCATACATAATGACTCTCTGTTGGAATATCTTTAGTAACTTGAGGTTCTATAATTGCTTACCTGGACCTGTTTCGCATGTAGTGGGAAATTGTTCAAGGCATGGACTTGAGTGATTTGGGTAAGTCTGAGTTTCTTGGACCCACCAGTAAGGCCGATGACCAAATAATATCCTGTATTTGAAGAAATATAAATATGCATGTATATTTAAATACACAACTATTACTTAATTGGAGACTAGCTATTTTCTCCTACAAAAATGATTTCATCAAAGGGTTGATGGGGAAAGCTGATGATTAAGAAACTTTGAAAGATCTTGGGTTCTGGTCAATCTTTCATTATAGAAGACGACACAGTCATTTGGGGATTGGGTACCCTAGTTTTCAATAAAAACAGGGACTTTTTTCCTTCCAGGGGAAGTCCTGTGGGTGCTTTGGAACTTAGACTGGGAATATCAAAGTGGTCCCTGGAATCACCAATCTGTTCAGTAAGGTGTGGCTCATTTAACTACTTGGTTAACCACAGCATATGTGTTACAGGGTTTGGGAATTTACTTATAAATTAGTATACATTAGTATATAAATGTACATTTGTATGTAAGTATGCATTTCTATGGGTTTTATAAGTTCTACTTATGAATCTGTGTTTCAAGTTAACTGGTATGTTTGAAAGATTTCCCAAGTAAAACTACACACGTCTAAAATGTGACCATTAATTTAAAGCTACAAATTTAAGAATAAACTTTAGGGAAAAAATGAAACAAAAAAGAAGTCTTACCATTTAAAAATAAGATTGAACCAATCCCCAATGACTGCTACCCATATCATCTTGGTTCCAACTGTCTGATTAAGTTGAAACCAAAGTGGAAAATAAATAGAAAAGATATTCCGGGGGTCTCCAACATTGGACATAAAATTTAGAAAATTGTAGTAAGCTCGGTAGTCCTTCTGCAAATGCTGAATAATGAGCACTCCATTCCTATGAAGGAAATCCATCTTGAAAGAGAGGCAATTCTAAACATAGAGCAATTGGAGCTGAAGTGCTCTGAGACCCACCATTTTTATACGGTACCCTTGTGGCGTGTCAAGCCATTACTACAACATGTGACTCTGACCATCTGTGGAAAGGGCACATAGACCCTCATGTGCTGAAAAGCTCATCTGTTTATAATTTTAATTGGAGCCGAAGAGGTGAAGTACAAGCTGATCTGTGACAAGTCAAGGGGAAATTTGGATAGAGATACAACGAATTTCTTATGCAACCTCCCTTTTGTGTGAACAGTTGGGTTGTGTTTGCTTGAAATTTTTTGCACAGTTCATTTCCTTCAAGGGCAGAGACATTAGCAATTTCTATGCTTGGCTAGAAGACTATGCAGATAATTACTGCATGTCAAATAGCCCTTAAAGCCATGCATTTTAATTTAAAATAGACTGTGGCTTTTTGACTATTTTATTGGGTCTTTGAGGGAAACAGATGAGTAAATATCTGGGCATGAAAACTTGATGTGATATAACAGATTATTTTCTCATCACAGATTTTTACATATTTTTTTCTCTCTTTATTAGCAAAAAGAATGAAGTGATAAATAGGGAACAGAGAAGGAAATATATGAAATCTAGAAGGAAATGCGTTGCTTTTTTAAAAAACATGTTTTTATTGATTTTAGAGAGAGAGGAAAGGAGAAGGAGAGAGAGAAACATCCATGGGAGAGAGAACCATCAATCAGCTGCCTCCTGCACACCCCCTACTGGGGATCAAGTCAAAATCCAGGCATGTGCCCTGACTGGGAATCCAACCAGTGACCTCTGGGTTCATGGGACGATGCTCATCCAACTGAGCCACACTAATGAGGGTGAGAAGGAAACGGGTTGTGTTTTGATCTTGAGGTCACTTTGCTAATAGAACGGTGTTAGGACTGAGTCATGTTATTATTGACTAGATGATATAATTGAGAACACTGGGGAGTGCTCATGTGAGAGAAAGACAGGAACAGACTTCAAAAGGCTTTGGACCAATCAGGAAAATGGTTTGTTGAAGACAGTGTCCAGTAGAAGTACCTGGGCTACACCAAAACAAACATGTTTATTGGGAATGAACAGAAGGGCAGCTCCAAGGGAAGTATGGGTCCCAGTCAGAAGGGAGATGCTGGGTTTAGAGAGCGAAATCAGGTCTGCGAGGATTCCTGTGAGAGCAGATAAGCCCCACCAGGTGGCAGAGGGTGGAGGCAGTAGCTATACTTACCGTTCAGATTGCTATCTTTGCTAATCACGGCCTCTTTCACTAGGAACCTCTTCACAGGCTATAAAGATCACTTTGAGCTTCTCTTGGAGTCCTGCCCCATCATTTAACAGCACCACCGCTAGGGGGAATCCAGTGTCTATCAGTACCTTCCCAGGCTCTGTTGACTGTCCTGGAGAAAATGCTTGACCAACCATTAAACTCTTTAGGATGATTTTTTTTTTTTAATGCCATACATTTGTCCTACCCCAAACAAACTCATTTCTGACTAGGATCCATACTTCTCTTTGAGCTGCCCTTCTATTTATTCCCAACCTACATTTCTGGACATCTAAATTTCTGGACTCAGGCACTGGTATTTTAAAAATACATTCCAAGTGATTCCAATGTGCTGTCAGGGGTGAGAATCAATGTGATAAAGAAATTCATCCTCTACCTGTTTTCCTTTCAGCTTAAGTCTCCCTCCCCTCTTCCCACCAAAAGTCAACCTGAAAGAAGTTTCAATGGCATTTAATATGTAAATTATCGAGTATAACTGGATCTTCCTGTTAAATTTGATTTTTGCACTAACTGATTTATCTTGTCAAGACTTCAGAGAATCTATCTCTAGAATAAAAGAAAAACCTAATCTAATAAATTATACAGCTGGTGATGGCTTGTAGACAAATTTGGTAATGTGGGCCATAAGAGGTGAAGCAGTGGGGACCATTGAAACGCACTCCTCTTAAAACACGGCATGGTGACGACAACTTTCCTCGCTGAGTTTTCTACGATGCCCACCTGGAAGGAGCCTAGAATACAGCCTGGTTTCTGTGGATGAGAATTCTGGTTTTCTCATCATAAAGTGAGACTGGAAGCAGCACCATGTCATTTTTCAGAAAGTGATTTTATGTGGCTGTCAGGAAATGAATATTAATCTCCATCCATGGTGAGAGCCTTACCAGTCTCTTCTGTCATTCTTATCATTTCAGTAGGAGGATAACCAGGAAGGAGTCAGCCAGCACTGGCCTTCCCCACATTTTGCTCTTCCCCCAGGCAGCCCATGAATCACACACACACCAGGTTCTCCTACTAGTATGCTAATCTGATTCAAATGATGTATGTGTTGGGGTAAAGTTAATTGTGCTGAAAACTCAATTGTGCATTAGAATGTCTTGCATTTATGCTCTTCCAATTATTTAAAATACTCTATTTTATTATCTTTTAAAAAATATTCTATCTTATTATCTGATTTTAACTCTACAGCGGTACAGTAATTCTCCTTTTAGTGATAAGGACATGGACAAGTAATCTCCCCCAGGTCATGTCTTTAGTGCAGCATCCGTGCTTGAAGACTAAATTTTATTCCAGAGCAATGCTTCTTCCTAGTCTAGGCTGTATCCAGGTTGCCTAAGGCCGACATTGGTGAGATTTAAACCAGCTGCAAAATGAATAATAGCTGATGCTATAACCAGCTTGTTTCAAATACTTTCAACTACCCAGACCTCCAGTTCAGCTGTGTCATCATTCCAGTTATAAGGCTTTTCCGTGTAGTCTTGTGAATTAGTTGACACATAGGCACATCTGGCCAGCTGCCATATCTCTAGAACTTCGTAGATATAATCACCGCTTTGAACTCCTGTTGGATGGCTTAACCCATCATTTGACATCAAGGATATAGTTGTTATGGGGGTTCAGTGGCTACTGTTACCTTCCCAGTCTCTGACATCTTCTCTGGGGGAAATATCAAGCGACACTAAGATGGGCACTTCAGAGCTTGCAGGGGAGTAGGAAAACTCTACAGTGAGCACAAGGTGGGTATCATGTATGCTCTGATTAGAGGTTGTTGGCATGGCCAAGCAGAAGCTGGGTTAATTAGAAGCAGAGCATCTTATGTGATTGGCTAGGATGCATATTTGGCTTTCTCTCCTTGGTCCTGAGCTGGAAGCAGGGGCAAAAAAATAGTGAAACTGGCAGTCTTGACCAAGTCCTGACCATTCTGGGCAGATTGCTTTAGAGGCTGTGGACCAGAGTTCTAGTGTCATATTTGGTCTGCCCATTGTCCATTTATCTATTCAGTCTCTCACAAGACAAATTGAGTAATCATGTGCCAGAAGTAATTTGTGTGATATCCCACCAAGAAATAAGGGAATCCATTGTCTATTTTATGATTCTATCATTCTTATTATTCATTGAGTTAAAATCAGGGCATACAGTTGCTTAACAAAGAAGAATCAATCTATTCAGGTACATCACTGCTCTAGCCAAGGTTTAACTTTGACTAATCAGAGTCTGTGCTACTGGCCTTTTGTTTGGCATATTCAGGTTCTATATTTTCCATAATGTCCTTGATGAGCCACAAAGAAGAACATTACTTCCCTTTATCCTTTTTCTAAGAGGTGTTTGAGCTACATATTTCATAATACTCATTTCCTTCAGAAATGTCTTGCCCTCAAACCAGGGTGTGAAGGATATCAAATACATTTTGTCTTACAATTAAAAATTCAACTTTATGCTCATTCAATACTTCAGAGTCTTTGGACTGTGATGAAGTTGGCTGCACATGGGCTTTTCATCTTAGGTAGTTAATTTAGAAAGACTGTCTCCCAAGGACTATTTGGTTGTGTTGACTGCAGGCAGGATAATTAACCAAAGTAAAAGCATCTTGATTTCTTTTGCTTTTTTAACAGGATCTGCTACCTGGTTATTCCCCATAGTTCATCATTTTTAGTCTTTTCATATCTTAGCTTATGTGCACTTCCTCCAAGATGCCTTATCTGCTCAGCATCTAGCTGGGTCACTTATAATAGTGTCATTATGGAATGCCAATATTCCTGGGATGCTAGCCATAATGGAGGTAATTGTTCTCTGAAAGTCCCTGGGGTCTAAACTTGGTCTGAAATAAATCCATTACACATTGCAATGTGACACTGGAGAGATCTCAAATACAATTTGTTGTAGATGAGACAGATAAGCTTCCTATAGAAGGATAATGACCGTTCACAGAGACATTAAAGGTCAATGCCTCCAAATATTTTCATTTGCTGCCACTGTACCAGTGACACAAGCTAAAGTCAAATATCTCTGAATGACATTGAACTGCAGTGAGCACTAAAACTCAGAGATGAATGGTTCCTCTTATGATAAGAATATATTTTATGGTTATGTAATTTTAATGTGACAAAACATATTGAAGAAGTTTTAGCCTCTGTCTTACAGGTTCCAATTTAGTAAAATAGGCAGGATTTGCTGCAACTCAAAACCTCACAAGAATCTAAATGAATCAAAATAAGAAAGTTCTGAAAAGAACTAGAATTATTCAACTATTGGAATTAACTAAAAACAAGACAACCATACAGGGTTTGGGAACTGGCTATAGTACCAAAAGAATTTTTTTAAAAAAAGTCATTAAAAAGAAGGAAGTCACCAAGACAAGCAAATTATGCTGGGGAGATTGGAGTACTGGAGATAATTCTGAAGAAACTGAGGAATTGGAGGGATCCTGGACGTAGGCACCATGGACAGTGGATGGGATTCCAGCAAACCTTATGCTACACTTAACTTGTTCGGGTCAGGGATTCCAATGAGAATCTTGTGAAAGCTCTGGCCTTCTTCCAAGAAATATGCACATGTACTAACATTCTGCATACAACTTTAGGAAGTTCAATGACCCCTAAATAAGTCAGATTCAGATTTTGGACTCCTGGCCTAGTGACTGAAGAGATGTAGCTAATATGAGACCCAAAAGCACATACTTTTAAATATTTCTACTTAACAGTATTTTACTGGCACAGCAGAGTTCTAGTCATTGAACAGGACATGGAGGAATCAAGTACAGACTTCTATGACAGCAGGAAGAAAAGGTATTGATCCTGAAGGGAATGGTGGCTGGTTGTGCAATTTTCTGAAGACTCTCATTATGTGGAGAATATCTGGTTTGATTCCAAGATGCAATGGTGAACAATTCAGATTTGTCTCTCTTCTCTTGGATTAGTCTGTGCTTTCAGGCTATGAGAGAAGGTTGAAGTTTTTGACCAATTTGAAGTCTTAGATTAGTAAATATTTAGTGTGAGAAAGAAGGAGGCTGGGATGGAGAGAAAAAGGCAGGGAGAGAAAGAAAGGAAGACAAGAGAAAAGGGAGAGTGGGAGGAAGAGGCAGAGATGTCAGAGAGTATAGGAAAAACAACAGAAGAATTGTGTATAAGACCGAAATTTTATCACTCTGCCCTACTTCCATTCTGATCAGGAATCTCACCATTGAGAGTCAACTCCACTTTTACAAACTATTTGACTTTGTTCTATTTAAAGTCTTATATATGTTTTAATATGGCAACCTATTGCATAAGAAGTAGGTAGGGTATAAATCATAAAAACAAGAAACCATTTTGAGTACTTATAGGGACCTATTCTAAGGCATTTGCATTTAGTATCTTTTTCAGTCTTTTAGACGGGGTATATGCAGAAGATATTATTATTGTTATTATTGCTACCCTCATTTTACGGATTAGGAAACTGAGGTCCAAGAGACCAAGTAACTTGCCCACAGTCACACATGGTAAATCATGGAGCCTGGATTTCAAACCCAGGAAGTCTTATTGCAGACTTGGAGCAGTTACCCCTGTGTAATTTATTAGAGAAGTAAACTGCCTAAAGGACATTAACACTTGGTTAATATCTCTAACAATATTCTCTAAAACTCAACATTAAAATCATAACTCATCATGCCGATGCCTTTCCACAACTCCCCTCCCGCAACATACTCCACCTACCCTGAAGACAATCTCAGTTCTGCCAGTAGTATCCACATTCTTTCGAACATCTATGTTAGATACCTTGAATTACCTCTGCCTTCTCCCTCCCCTTTTCACTTTTGTCTGCAAAATAGCAATAATAGAGGGCAGGTACCAAGAATTTTGGCTATTAAAAGTTTTGTGTCGTTGTCTACTGTGGCAGGAACTACCTGTAATAGATACTGCCTTTTAATGTTTCAGATTTAATTTACATGGTCAAAAACAGAGGATCAGAAAATTCTGGAAGAGTTAGTATTAGAAGCCAATAAACAGTAATAGTCCAGCTACTTCCCAATGAAGCGTTATTAAAAGATGAGACCAATTAAAAAATAGTATTTTTATTAGTTTTATTATTTTTAATTATCTTTATTTAAGCTACAGGTAGTATCAAAGAAGAGGGTATATACTTGGTAACAGAACACAGTTAAAGTCCAGTATTTATATTTGTTGCAGAAACCTTCATTTGAAACTGATGAATGGCCTGTCCTGGGGAGGCTCCTCCAGGAACTATTACTATTTTCCTAAGCCAAGGCGAGAGTTGGGCTGTTTTTCAAAAATGAACTACAAATCCCAGAATGCCCTTTCCCCCATCTTTTGCGCGAGAATCTGGGAGGGCTACATCAACCAATCCCTTCATTGAAAAACCTGTGCTACCAACCAATCAGAAGGCGAGCGGGCGCTCGAAGTCGGGAGGCGGAAGACACCGCAGGTTTGAAAGAGGAAAGTTGGCGCGGCGCAGGGAGGCGGGTCTCCAGCCCGGCGGTTAGCTGGCGTCGGTTCATGTCCTGTGTGGGGAAGGCGGCGGGGGTCAGGCCTCCGGGAGAAGGTGAGAGAGGTGGGGGCTGAGCTGGGCTCCCGACCGGCCTGTCGCGATAAAAGAAGTGGCTTTGGGGGCGGATGTGTGCTTTCGGGGGCAGTGCCTGTGAAACGCTCGTCCTTTTGTTTGTAAATCTGGGCCTCGCGGGGTGGGCAGCGGCGAGGCTGAACTCCCGGGATGTCTGTGGATCCCCGGGAAGATTTTAGGTCGTTGGGAAGGTTTTAGCCTTACGGGGAACTGGTGGGACCGGGAGCCGTACAGGACGTCCTTTCGCAGCGGAGGACCCCGAGGCCCGGAGGGGCTAGGTGACTTGTACAGGTCCTGGACTACACCCACTCAGCCCCCACCCCGGTCTTCGTAATTCCTGCTGCCTTGACTGCTCCGGGGTGAGAGGAAGAGGTG